CATGTAGGCCTGGGGTGGGATTCTAGAGCCCTCAATTGACTCACGGTCCAGTGCTGGGATTACATGTGAGTGCTACACCAATCCCAGGACATGCAGCCTGCATACAGCATAAGGGAGGGAAAGAAGCTTGTTCTTTCATCTTCCCTTTAATTAACTTTTTTTTTTTTTTTTTTATGTATTTGGTACAGGGTCTACAGGGTCTCACTACACAGATCAGACTCGGAGTGATCCTCCTGTGTTCAGCCTCCCAAGCACTGAGATTACAGGAGCGCACCACCACACCCAGTCTCAACCATGGTGTCAGTGCAACCTGCGGGCAGGGCTGGCACGGCACACCAGGGATTAAACCCAAGCGCTGCGCTCCGCCTAACCAGGCGCTTTAGTCCCCGAGTTATCTGGCTGGCCCTTCACTCTTCCCTTTTTGCTCTTGTTGCCGTTGCTCATTTCTGCTGCCATGAATTGCTGCCCTCTGCCATGTGCTACTCTGCCTTGGAGCCAGCCGAATACAGACTGAAACCTCCACAAGCCGTGCGCTAAAGAAACCTGTCCCTCTTTAATTTCCGGCCCTGAATATTTTGTCTCAGCAGTGAGAGAAAAGTAACTAAAACATACATGACTTAGAAAGAATATGGTATTGCAGAAGCCGGAACTGAACCAAATGGAAAGTGCTCTGCACCAAGGAGCTGGAAGGCAACCAGCCTTATCACGCCAGCAAGCTCACGGGCAATCTCTGGAAAGTACTGGCGCAGAGTTGGCTTTGGTCTTAGTTTACACAGGTTTTGCAAGTCGGAGTTACAACAGCTTAAAAGCATGGTGCATTTTTATTGGGCAGCATCAGTTACTCTTCACCGCTGAGCAGGAAGTCCTGAGACAAGTGAGTCAACAGGTTACACTCAGCTGGAAAGAGCAGGCTGTGCAGCCAGGTGTCCACTGAGCCAGGTGGGTCAGCTCTGCTCTGCAGCTGGGCCTGACGCTCAAGGCTGACCGTGGCTGCAGACTTAACAGCTATGCGAGGGCTGCAGGAGCTTACTTTGTCCTAATATGGTGTCAGAACATAAGTAATTTTTCATTTTTTAAAATTTCCATCACAATAGTGCTATTGGAAAGCACAGTGATATTTAATTGTTGTCAATATAATTTTCTTTGCCCCCTCCCTCCCTGAATTATTAAAAGTATGAGTAATGAATCCACTTTTCACCTCTGTGCAGTTTCACTGAAAATTTGGACAATGAAAACGAATTAGAAGTCCAAAAAGATTCATCTACTTTACACATAACTAATTATATGTAAGTCTGTTCCAACATCCACATCATCCACTTTCATTGTAAAAAAACAAAACAAAACAAAACAAAAAATATAAGAAGAAAATAAAAAGTACCATTACTGAGAGATTACTTTAAAGATTTAGCATTGGCAGTATCAGCTCTTCACAAGAAAACCACCTTATGCTATTGGGATAGAGTTCTCATGTACATGGAATTACCTGATCAAAGGGCAAGATTGCTTTGTAGTTATTGCTTTTATTGTCAATTCAGAACATTTCAACAGGGGCTGGGAAGATAGCTCGGGGGTCTACGTGCCTGCTGGCGAGTGCAAGGGTCTGGGGTTTGATCCCCAGTACCGCATGCCATGCTAGACTTGGATTTCCATGTGTGCCATGTCAGCCCCCAAAACCAGGCATGGTGGCACACATCTGTGATCCCGGTGCTGGGGAGGCTGAGACAGGAGGAACACTACGACTCTGAGCTGTGTAGCAGGATCCTATACCAAATAAGTAAATATAAATAAAAATATTTGAACAATTTATACTTACCTGTAGGTAAGAAAGTGCCTGTTTCATGGTATTTTACCACTAAGAATTAATATTTTAAAAGAATATTCTTATATCGGTAGAGAAAAGTGCTTTTTGCTTTCATAAGTATAATTTTGCTTTTAGGCAAAATTCAACAATATCCACTCAAGAAAGAAACTGCGAACTCAGCTTCTGTACACCAGGCTGTACTAAACCCTAGCGATACCAGGAGTTGTAAACCACAATCTCCAAGGAGTTCAGAGTCAGTTGAAGGTCAGCCACACAGAAATTACCTTTCCTATTTTCTCCTCACTTCAAAGAGTCACTATAAAAATGACTATTTTATACAGTCTATAAATGTAAATACTCAAACCACAGACCCAAATAAACTTCAGATTTAAAAAGATGTATTTTTAAATCTACTTCTCACCTACAATTGTATCCACATTTATTTCTGTATCTATATCCATGAAAAAACTAAGAGAAAGACAAGCATAAAAGAAAGAAAAGGGCTGGGGCTGTAGCTCAGTGGCACAAGTGCCTGCCTAGCAAGTGCAAGGTCCTGAGTTCAATTCCCAGTGGGGGGGGGGGGAGAAAAAGAAGAAGGAAGAAGAACCGTCATTCTCAAAGATGACCATTTTGTAGATTTAACATGGGTAGTATGAGTTCACAATTACAGAGGCACACAAATGTACATTTTCAGGATAAATATTTTTAAAGCACAGTTACTCCAAAAGCATCTTGTTCATCATGTTCCCATTGTCAGGATAAAATGATGCACCAACGCTTCTACCTTCCAGGAGGTGAAGTTTATTTTGGTTCCTCATCTCAGTTCACCTTGGCTGGCTCCAAGGCAGAACCAGAAAGGGACAGGGGCCCAGTGAAGCAAAGGTTCCCAGCAGGTGCTTGCAGAGAGAAAGAAGGGAGGCAAAAGCACACCCTTCCAGGTCATGACCCTAGTGACCTCCTGCAACCAGGCTCCGCCCCCTCGCAGCACATCCGGGTGCTGACCTTGCCAACGGGTAAATGGAGGCATAGAGGGCCTCGGGACCCACCTAACACATGAAACTGGGGGTGGTGGTGGCATTTTTTAACTAAACCAAATCAACATTAACTGACCACTATATGCTCACTGCTTTATTATAAGATAAAACTGAGTGAGAAATTTAAGACACTGCCAGGAGACCCGGGGCCACCCTCCCTAGGTGGTGAGAGGAGGGGGTGGCGGCGTTGCACGTTTCATGCGCAGGTTCTGTGGGACGGGAGCCAAGGAATGAGCGAACTAGGGGTCTCGTTAGCACAGCAGGTGGCACATGTCTCATAATCTGAAGGAGTGAGCAAACTCACCCGCAGGGCAGGCACAGGTAGCCTTGGGCTGTTCCAATTCACAAGGTTATTTCATTTTAACAAATGAAAGGGAACAGAGGCATGGAATGTTTAGCTTAATCTTGCACTATATAGTGCGAACTTTCAGTACCTGTCTCTATCATGGGACAGTGCCTGGCCTCTGGGTAACCCCAAAGAGAGAAGCAGCTCTGCACAGGGAACCACAGCAGCAAGTCAGAGGCCAGGCAGGAGCCTGACAGCCCCCCTAAGAGGAGAGGAAGTTTTCAGTTACATTCAGAAATGAGTGCAAATAGTACCTGCTTGAACTTAACGGGATTGCAAGCACAAGATAACCGGAAACAGTTCAAAGACCCTTTCAACAGATGTCTCTCTGAGTTCTAGCCTTTTCACTTACTGCCTTCTAGAGAAAGATATAGAGATACATGTGGAGTTTCTTCAGGGAAAAGAGATGGATTTTTCCTGAATGATACTAAATTAATTCTCTTAAACAAAAACCTAGTCAAGCATCAGAGCCCCTACTTTCAACCTTGTACCCCTCCAAATGGCTTTGCATTTTCAATCTCAAGCATTCCTATTGCTCTAACTAACCCTTGCCTTAATCACTGTTTGCCCTCTGTCTCTCCCCCCACCTTCTCTTGCTCTCTGCCTCTCTCCCTCTCCCTTTACACCCCTCTCCCATCCCTCTGCTTCCTCTCAGTTCCCCAGCTATGATACTTTTTGGAATCTTCACCTCTTCTCCATACATTCTTTCCACTACTCTCTCTGTACCACACCTGTTTTTCTTCCAGCTTAAACATGACTTCTTCAAATATGATTTAATCTGTGTAGGCCAAGCCTAGTTATAGTATTAAACAGCTCTCAACACTTTTCTTTTATAGTACTGCATTACAACAACAAGTGTAATACTATCTAGTTTTAAATTTAAACATGTCTCCCATGGGCCCTTGGGCAAGGACCATGTGATCATGTTCATTGTTACTCTGTCTTGTTCATAATGAACTCTCAAGTACTTGTCCAATGAGAAAATGAAGTAATTTCAGTCTACTTGGGAAGAGACTAATGGTTATCTATTCAGTCCCTAAATATTGTACATTAGAACATCTCTATCAAAGGTTGAGATTCCCAGGTTTCGTGGGGATGAAACCACAGTACAGAGTATGTGTCACCTCTAGTTTCCTTTCTAGTTCCTGGGAGTGAAACACTGCAGAATGTTGTCATTACTAAAAATAACTCTCTAAATCAATTGGATTTGATCTATGACCACCTATGAATAAAGCAAGCTAGAAAGTCTAAAATATGGAAAAATAAAGCCCTCTTGTGCTCTTCTATAAATATATTTAATCCTTCCGTATAGAATTGAAGAGGAAGCCAGCAAGTGGTGTGCATGTGGCAGTGTGAAGCTGTTAACGTGCTGCAGGCAGCCAGGACCATGTAAGTGAACGCTGCCCAGCACACTTGGTAGAAGGAGCCACGTAAGTGAACGCTGCCCAGCGCACCCGCAGCCCGGGCACGTAAGTGAACGCCGACCAGCACATTCGGTAGACAGAGCCACGTAAGTGAACGCTGCCCAGCGCACCCTCAGCCCGGGCCACGTAAGTGAACGCTGCCCAGCGCACTTGGTAGACAGAGCCACGTAAGTGAATGCTGCCCAGCGCACCCGCAGCCAGGGCCACGTAAGTGAACGCTGCCCAGCGCACTCGGTAGACACAGCCAGAGCACCAAAAGCCTTTGCAGGCACACACCTAGCACACAGCGGAACTGCGTCTCCTGCTGTCTTTATTCTCTTGTTGTTCCTGTGTAGTTACCAATGTCTGAAGGATTTACACAAAGCACACCGCAGCTTTCAGGGGTCCACACTTACTGATAGTCCAGCAGGGCTTCATTGGCAGGCAGTCTGGCTTCCTTGAGGGGTCCAGTTGGTGCCTCCTTTTTATTTGCTTTCCCCGCACTGTCCATTGCTCCAGACAGCTAGTAAGAAATATACCTGTTTTTAAAGAGAGATGGAAAAACAGAGTAAGTTCCATATGTGCTCCACTACTTGTATTTATTCTAGATTAGACAGCACTAGCATGTAAAAACTAGCTTTTCACTGCATGAGGCGGCACACGCCTGTAAATGCAGCTACCTGAGGCTGAAAGTGGAGGACTGTAAGTTCAGGGCCAGCCTCGGCAACTCGGCTAGAACCTTGCTCAAAAAATAAAACAATCAAAGTGAGCTTGGGATGGAGCTCAGAGGTACGGAGCCTGCCTAGCACGTGCAAGGCTCTGAGGCCAGTCCCCAGTCCTCAAAAAATGATCCCCAAACAAAACAAAAAGAAACTGGCCTTTCTATTCTGATTGCTTCCTTATCCCCAGATCTAACATCGAGCACAAGACTGGAACATCATGAATCAACTGGATTTTTTTCCCCATAATTTTATTGAGAAACAAATAGCAATGAGACAGTTTCAAATCAAAT